CATTGTGTCCGGAAGGTGATAAAACAATACATTTTCGGTTGTTCGTCACTCATACGGTGATATTTGAAAGCGTTGCTTTACTCAGTAAAGTAACGCATCAGTAAAGAAAATGTGCCACCCCTAGTCTAAATAATTGTAAATTGAAAGAGTCCGCTGTATGCTTATCAAATGCTCTCATAACAAGAAGGTGAGATTGAACTTCCAAATCCATTGGATCAAAATCTTCTTCCTCAATGCGTACTGCAGTCTGTAACAAATAATAATACTGTTCCATCAAAAAAAACTTTTTTTAAAAAAAATTATTGCATTTTTTTATTTTGCTTGTCCTGATACTCATGTTCTTCTTTCGATTTCGAAACAAAAACTCGTAATTTTCATTCTGATTTTTTAGACTAAGTTTCCCGATTAACTTCTGAGTTTTAGCGAAAAGTTCCTGATTTCGAAAAATTGGATTTGGTCACCCAGATCCTTGGGCTTGCAAAGGTTACGTAACTTTTTCACGGACTACTTTACATTATGTTTTACTCGGACTTTTCTTCGAGAACATGATATAATTTGATCCCAGCAGGGTCAAGCTAACATGCTACTTTCACCATGTTTTACCGGGTTTTTTCTTCGGGAACATGATGCACACGAGCTGTCTTGTTCACTGAGGGGTCGGTTAGAGAGTGAGCTGAAACAAAACACAAAGTAATTTTATTTCTTTCCGTTTCTCATGCAGACAATCCTCCTTTATACCACAAGGAGTGTGCTCATGTTCTTTTATGTAACTCTATACTAATTATGGTACAGTACATTGGAAAATAGTATTGCATATAACAGACAGACTGTTTGTTCACTTATCCCGTATGAAATCAAAATAAGAAAACGACAGACATCTCTATACACGTGTAGACACGTGACGTGTCTATGGTATAAATTATGTTATATATGATATCCAGAGACAGAAAGTAGACAAAAATATTTGTATACTCGTTTCTATTGTTTCTGTTGACCACGTGATATCTGAACTGCTATGATAACATAGTCTATCATAGACTATCTAACGACAATAGGAATTTTTAAGAGAAAAGAAAAAAACGAGTGTCGTTATATTTTCTCACTGAAATGGTATAAACCAATGAGAAAAGACGATAATTTAGCGACAGTCCACTGCCAGAAATAAACCCGTCTAACGTAAGTAGATAATCCACTTCAACCGGATTATTCACCCACTTTTGCCATTGGACGGCTAGCAGAAAAGTCACCCGGTTCAAGTACGTTACTTACCCACTATAATGCCGCTTTTTATCCACTTGAAGTGAGTGAATTTTTTCTATTGGCTGGTTTTCGAGCAATGACAAATTTAGATTGGCAGGTGAGTTTACTAACCCACTTTCCATATACTCGGAGATTGATTTTTCAAATTGTTGCCAAAATCAATGTTTTTGAAGAACTTTGTTCGTTCTCGCAATTTATGCAACTTACTCTTACGAAGAATAAGTTATATAGAATGCCAGAAAAGGGCAAAATATCTTCAAAAATACAGATTTTCGGCAACAATTCGCTTGTTTTTGTTGAGAAAAAGAACTTTTTTAATTCCGCAAAATAGAAATTTATTTGAAAACGGAGAGGATGAGAAAAAAACAACCGGAAGTTGATAAGACGGATCCCTAAGGTGCTGATGTTGAAGTGCTAGATTTTGAAAATGAATCCGGTAAATTATAGCACTTAATAAGTTTTCTATATTTCAAAAATTGCACCTCGCAACAACACTAAAAGTGTGGAGAAAGCGTGTTACAAAGACATCGATTATTTTCTGCTACAAAAGTAGACAAAAGAGTATATTGTTTGTTTCATAACATTTATTTTTTTTTTCTGATCAAATATAATAGTTCAGTTTGTTTTCGTTATAAAAATATATAAAATAAAGAATTATAAAATCACAGTTATGGAAGATACACACAATGAAACAAGGAAAAAAGTTAATGTTTATTATCAGATCATTTTCACATATAAGTTTTGCCATAACAAAATCTAGTACAAATGAAACGAAAAAGTATCTGCAAGAAATTTTCTTCGAAGGTAAAGTCTAATAACAACGAAAACAATATAATAACTTCAAAAAAATAAAAGATATCGAGTAAATCGCTGGCTACTATTCACCTAAGTTTCGTAGTCTGCTGGAGAAATAGTTTGTAAATCATTATTAATAAATTTATTAATAATTGTTATGCAATTATTATCACTAATATAATCAATGACATCAAACGCAGCAACAAATAAAAGCAAAATTTGTTCAAGGCCACTGGTTGTTATATTTATTGTTAATTTTATTGTTGGTAGTACAATAGCTGCCTTTTTAAATCCGGATTTTGCTGATGGTAAGATGGTGATGCCAATTTCTGGATAAAAATTCTAAATAAAAAAAACAGGAAAATCAACTCTAGTTTTTCTCAGATTATCCCACATACAGCCTTACTTCGTAAAAGATTTCTGGCGATTGTAATGTTTTACAACAGGAATTTATTGCCTTTAGATCCATTTCACTTTGCTAGAAAAGAGATGTCATGCCTGAGAAAAAAGATTTGACGCGTTGAGTACAGTAGAAAATGGTTCGAATTTTGTGAACTCTAGTGGGTGTACACAATATTTTTATTGCTTGTACGAGATTCGACTGTAAATCGAAAAATCGTCTTCCTTGCTTAGGGACAATCAGGGAAAAAAGTCGTACTACAACTTAATAAAAGCAATGTGTACTTACTGTCTCATAACGTTAAATTTTTTCATTCTTAGCTATTTTATCTATGAGTGATCGTAGTTTTTGAGCTGTAACGGCAAATTTATCATGACTGACTCCGTTTAATAGACAATATTCCATCGATAACTGAAATAATAAGAGACCAAAAGCAAAAAAGACAGTCACACTGTTGCTTGTGTTGTTGTGACTAGTGTTGAATAGGATGCTTTTGATAAATTTGGTTCAGATGAAAAAGCAACTGTTTCCTTTAGTACAGTCGTTCCAGGATTTGTTGTCGTAATTGTATTAACTGCTGCAGCTATCAAAATAAATATAAAAAGTTTTTCAAGCAAAAAGACGAAACAAAATGACTGACTTACTAATGTGGTCGAACTTGTAGCACTTCCATTCTTCATTGTATCTAAGTTAACAAATGTTAATGATTGATTTTGACTATGATCAACTGGAAATAAACAGTCATAAGAAAAGTTGTATGAGTTTCTCATAGAACGATGATGTCTTTTTTACCTTGAGGCAGAATCGTTCTTGGATGTTTCTCTGATGTTACGGCACATGAAATTAGTACAGGAGATTGAGTTGCGGTATTGGGATCTAAATTACATGAAGATAATGAAAATTAGAATATCTATATTACTTGCACTATCCTTGAATACATACAACAGGTCAATGGCGTAAATACTTGATTAAACCTGGATACATTTGACTGAGATAAGTGCGTTGCTGAAAGAAAAGATTATCTAACAGAATAAAGTTAAACAATTAAACCCAGGTAATTAACCTTGATTAGTGACTCTTAAATTAGTAGTTAACGAATTTGAAAATAGTTTTTGATTCTAAAACTCTTCCTTTTAAATTTTATTAACAGAAATTATTTCAAAAACGTTTCGGAAGACTCTTCTTCCTTCTTCAGTTTGCAAAAAATAATGAGTGACATATTGAACTATTTGAGAAACACACACTATGTAATTTATTCTTTTTTCCTTGTGTATTTTTCCGTCTCTCTGTCTCTCTCTATAATAGAGGAAAATACACGAGGAAAAAAGAATAAATTATATAGTGTGTGCTTCTCAAATAGTTCAATATGTCACTCATTATTTTTTGCAAACTGAAGAAGGAAGAAGAGTCTTCCGAAACGTTTCTGAAATAATTTCTGTTAATAAAATTTAAAAGGAAGAGTTTTAGAATCAAAAACTAATTCAATGTCCTTCCAAACTATCACAGAATTTAAAAATAATACGGGTTGAGAACTAACTTAAACTGAACTGACTGTAGGTGGTACTGCATTTATCCGTGATGCTACAAAAATCTTGCTCTCTAAATACCGCACGTATATTGCAATAGAATAGTAGTAACAAACAGGAACACTTTGTATTAATTTTCCACCAAGTATAAATGATACTGGTTGCTACTGTTCTGATGGAAATAATGATAATAATGATTGTGATTGTACACCTTGTGAAGCAGGTCTAACCACAATTATTTTAGGTCCTTGTAATTGAGTCGATGTGGTCGTTGACAATAGAGATAACGGTGGTGACGGACAAAATTTCGATTCGGGTGTTGCTCCATCTCAAACAACCACGAAAAGCAAGAAATTTTAAGATAAGAGTTTCTTATAAGCTCCTTTACTTACCATCTAATATTCCAACTTTAAGTGTACTTATCTCGCGTTCTTTTGTTGCATGAATTTCAGTTTCTAATTGTGAGTGAATTTCATTTTCAATAGGTGAATCTGGTGTCATCACTTGCGTATCTTCATACGTTCCTGTTTTATTTAATTCATGACCTTCCTTTTCATTATTCTTTGTCTGATTTATTAATTTTGTTTCTTTTCTTTTGGCATATTTACGAGCATTTCTAATACTTTGTGATATCAGACCAGACAAATGACTCTAAAATTAAAATAAATGAATTCTTTTCTGACAAACAACATAAGCGGAACCGATGGAAAACTGGTCGAACAGATGAAAAAAATTTATTTTAGTGTGCATCATTTTATTCTTCTTGTTGTTCATCCTTACACTTTTTTCCTTCTTTCCCTCTTATTTTTATTTTTTCTTGCTGTTTGCATGTAATAGCTTATAACATTTACCATGTCATTTTCCTCTGATACAATGGCCTAGACCGCATCTGTGTAAAGTGACCATTCTTATTTCTCTCTCTTGAATAATAAAGTTTAAACTAACTAAACTAAAAAAATTTAGTCCGACAAAATCCAGTTTTCAAAAAAGCTGTTATATAAGAAATCGTGTGGCTGTAATACTCTCTGTCAATTTTCGTTGTCAAGAACTCTTTTTTAAAAGATTGCTCGTTCAATTCTCTACAAAATCTATATAGAGCAGTTTTTATACATTGTATAAAAAGAAGGATATGGATTAAACACTGCGAAGCTTCAGTCTTTCTAATTCAAAACTCAACGTAAAAGATATTTATTTTGAACGCAATGCTATACATAAAAGCAAAATTAAAACGTGTCTGTTTGAATGTAATAGAACAATTAATCTTTTTAAGTTGCGACCACCCTAGCTCCTAATTGTTCGATTTTAACCGATTTATATTATGCGCTTAGATCCAGAATTGTGGAGGACACTTCAGGTTATCTACCTATGAAAAAAATCGGTAGAAGAACCGGCTGTTTTCGTGTTGGAAAATCAGAGTTGGTTTTCTTAAGATCTTCGGAATTTCTCCCAAACTGACTTTTGCTTATGAAAAGTTAGCCTCAAGTGTCTTCTGTCGACTGATGAAAACAGCAGGTCTCTATCGCTTTTCTATCAAAAGTTATTCAAAAAGCAACCATCGGCACTGCTTTTTGGAACTGATAGTACGTTAGAAAAATGGTTACATATACAAATACATATACAAACATATACTTGATCCTTCATTAATTTCATTCTTCAATAGTGGATATTTATCAATCAACGTACGAGAATAATTAGCATAATCATTTGTTGTTTTTGCTTGTGGATATGTTTGAAGAAGATGTTTTCTGGTAAGAGTCATGAATTTACTTTGCACATCGGTCAAGCCATCTCAAATAAAACAGAGTAGAAAAAGATGTTTGCAAGAACATTTTGCAGTAATAACATACCTTTTTGTAAACAACTAACTATTCCTGTGGGATAGTTTGGACTTTTCACCGGGTAAGGAACATACTAAAGTTGAAAGAAAAATTCTTTAAAGAATAGAAAATGATTTATAGAAAGAGGGCATATTGTATTTGCCTTTTTTTTCTTCTCCTTCATCGGTTTACCAGTTCCATTTTCTATAGGCTCGTGATCGTTTGTTGAAGGAACTTCAATATTTTCGTGTTGTTGTTGTTCATCATCAATGCCTGAACCAATATCAAGTGTTGTTGTTTCCATTGCTATCTCCTCATTCTGTTGAATGTTGATTTCGCTACTTTCACAAAAATCTGATTCATTTTTTGATAACACTTTCATTTGGACAGCTGAAGTACCATCAATTTGATCATAAGAATCAAAGTCATAATATTTTTTGAAATCATAATATTTAATAACAACATTTTGTCGATTATGAATTTCACAAGATTTCAGAACTTCACTGACAATTGTATCATAATTCATGGATTTAACAACAATTATTTTTTCATTATCAAGATGGTGAATAGCAATTTTAACCATATTTTTTGTTCATACCGTTGTTGAAAGAAGAATCTAGAAAAGAAATTCTCTCGTAACCAAAAAATAAAAAGAGCAAGCGGAAATGTCTCCACAATCTAGGCTGATCAAATTAAAAAATTACGAAAAGTGCGTTCAAAATTGTAAAAACGATAAGTAAGTCCGTAGTAAGCAGCGGTGCTGACAATGGGCCGTCTTTATGGCTGGTATTTTCTCGGCAGTGCCGCTAAAACTTTTAAAGGAGTTTTGCTCTTTTTCAGCATCTGGACGGAAAAAATCTAAACAGAATCTAACTTCACGACTTAGTATCATCTAAGGGAAACTGCATTTTTCTTTTCTTTTAAAGAACTAACTCTTCAACCTTCCTGAAAAAATTTTCAGACTGTCCGTGTGGTTCGTGAAACGTGATCAGAACAAAAAATGTTAACTTCCTGTCCGAATCGGTCAGTTTTTTTAGTGAGTGCCTGCGCCTAGTGACCAATTCTCAGTCGGTTTCAATCATGCCACCTAACTTTACTTACTCATAAACACAACAATAAGAAAATATTGCAACCAAAGTAAATAATCGATGACAAAACAATTGCTCATTCCTAATTCTGAGAAAAAAATTAGTTTTCATTATAAAATAAGAAAAACGAGAGTAGATAAATACAAACCAAAATAAATTTTGTATAATCAGTAACTACAAATAAGCTCTAGCACCATAAACTATACCATATGGATGCAAAGCAACATAACGAATATTGAATATTATAACCAATTTCAATGACAATTTGTACACTAAGTTGGAAAACAAACATTGTTCTACTGTATCCGTAACTTGCACTATAAAAACAGGAACAGAATAATCAATTATTTTAATTTTCTGATAAATAAATACAAAATTAATACCATCATTGATAATATATTTCACTAGATCTAATGTTGGACTTTTTGGAAAATGTTCTGTTGATGTATTAATCACGCATCCTTCATTGTACTGTATTCCATTTTTAACAATAAATTTAAACAATGCTTGTGGCGGAACTTGTAAATTAATCATTTGAATTGTATTTTGAAATTCATTATCGTTTGTTCGTTTCCCACTCAGTTTTGCTTCGTCATCACCATGTAATACATTGTGCGATTGAGTTCCATCTTGATTGTGATTTACTAGTGCGGACCATAATCCGCGACGATATGCGAATGTCTGTGGCAAATTGATAAAATTTTTTGTTTTACCAGCTTTGAAGAATTGATGCTTACGTTCAGTTGCTAAACAGTTGGTATATCCTAAAATAGACCAAAACTCCTTCCGTGAAAAGACCGTAATAATAAAAAGGAATACATACGTAATGGACCAACATCCTTCATTGCTCCTGGAAAATGTTTCATAAAATGAAATTTTGGTTTCATTTTTTCTAAAAAGCACAAACAAACAGCTACGATAAAGGAAGCAAAACTAAACATCGTCTTACTTGTGTATTGTCGACGAAATTCAATATTGTGATAATCGATTGCTTTTTTTAGCAATTCAGGTGACTTTATTCGATGAACTTCTGTTGCAAAACACATTGATAAAATATCAGTAAGCGTTAAAACAATTGTGTATGCATAAAATGTTGAGCTTTTCAATAACAATTTCAATATAAATGGAAAATTCATACATAAAACATAAACTTGCATACTTGTCAACGGTATGCTGTTGTTTGGTTGTTTTTTAAGATCTAAATCCATGTCTAATTTTGGTTTACATCTAATTTCATTTGTGTCATAAAACTTGAATTTACTAATAATATCTGATAATTCTTCCATTTTAAAATGGTTATGATCAAGACAATATTGGATAAACAAATTTACGTGTGTTTGAACAACACCTTCAAGTAATGTATGCATGGGGTCGTACATCACTTGTTTCATAATATTGAAATGATCCAATCGATCAAATCGATCAAATAGACTACGACTGTTAACACCGTATTTTATGGACAAATTATCAAACGTACATTGATCATGTTGTACTAATTCTAATTGATTACATCGACGTTTATATTCAATTTGATCAATATCATCTAAATCATGATGAATACCCTCTTCAATAAATTCTTTCAAAATGTCACATTTAAAACAACACTGATTAGCTGCTGTACTTTCTTTAAAGCCATGCAGTGACATTTGAGCAGGATAATCGCCCAGTGTTATGTGTAGACCACTAAAATATGTTTGTTTTTGTCCATTAACATCAATTGTTATATCTTAAAATAAAACAAGAAAGAACGCTGTTAGTAGACCAAAATAGAGTTTTACTAATGAGGGAAAGGAGCATAATCAATCGAACCTACTCGACTAGCGCTATAGCAGAAAAGCGATCGATCTGTTTTCGATCGAAATGAATGAATCCAACTGAGAGAAAGAAAATAGAGGTAAAAATGCAAAAGAATCTTCCTAACTAGATATAACTAGTACGCCTGAATGGAATGCCTAATGTTCAAATTTGCGATCACAGCCTGAAGTATACTGTCTGCAAAAGCAAGTCCGAAGAAAGAACTGTCCTCTCAGCCCTAGCGGTAATCTGCTTTCGCCGCGTTTTGATTCTTTTAGACTAGCCTTTGGTTGATAATATTTCAATTCCGTTTAAAAAATCCTCCAGTGTATGATATAATGAGTTGTATTTACGTGCCCATTTCGGACAGACAGCAACTAAACGTTTAGCAGATTGTTTTGATCTAATGTCTCTGGATAAATTCAGTAAAGTCCAATAAAAGAAAACTGTTGAAAGTGATCGATGACTAACTGGATTTGTTACATTTAAATCGTCAGAATTTAATTCTATCTTTAAAAAAATACTTTTGTTCTCTATAGACTGTCACTGTCAAAAAAAAGTGTCTTAATAAAGCACTCGGCTGGCTTAAAAATACATCCACAGTGCGTTTTGAAGGCACGTTAAGTGTATTTTCTTATCTTTTTACTGTTATTCGTCTTAATGTCTTCAAAAAAACACCTCTAAGTCGCTGCTTTTTTGGAAGAAAATAGCTTAGGTGCATTTGATAGACACCACTAATATACCAAAAACGCACAATGCACTAGCTACGGTCAAAACCCTTGATCACTCATCAGCCACGGATAAATCACGTAGTCATATTTAAGGCATTGAAAATGCTACGAGACTCTTGTTAGACTCTAAGTCATACTGGTGGCTGCTCAAGATATCTATGGCAAAACAAATCGATAGAGAAAAGTGCTCTAGCTGCATTGTTTCTTCGACAACTGTAGTAACTGTCGTACTCTAGAACAGTAGACGATAAACAATCGTCTGAAGAAAAAGGTTGAAATAGTTTTGAGCCTGTTCATAAACCACGTGAATGCAGAATAAAACGTTTTGTTAGCTCTAGTTGAGTATTTCGTATGCGTGACAGAGATTTGTTTAGAACAAGTCGAACAGCGCGGTGAGAGTGAAATAAATGTGTATAAATTATAACAATTTTGTTTTTATTCCTTCTTAGGTCGGGAAAAATAATTTTATTCAAATACCATTTCTCGAAAGTTTATTAAATTTAACCAAATTACCTGAGGTACAGCAGTGTCTGTCCGAACCTCATATTCCAAATCCAAACGTTATTACTGACTATCGTGACGCCAAATATTATCAGGATATTCTCAAAAACACAAATAAACAAGATCTGCTGTCATTTGAGATGGCATGCGATGATCTCACAATCACAAATCAAATCAGTCATCACGTTCACAAGTTATTTTTATTTTACTGGACGCTTCTAAATCTGAATTGTTATCAACGATCGAAACAAGTAGTTAAACGTTTATTAGCCGTCGTGCCCAAAACTTTGATGGCCAACACAACCATCGCAGATGTAATGAGCGATTTTATTGACGGACTTCTGATAATGTGGCATCAAGGCATTGAGATAGTTATCAACGGAACAAAAAAGAATTTTTTTGGCATTCTTCTGTATACAGTGGCTGACTTTCCGGCCACAAACTGCTGCCACGGTTTCAAAGAATCAACATCAGCGCTTCGATTTTGTCGTTTATGCGATGTGAGGAAAGACAATTATTTTGAGAGTTTAGATAAGTCATCTATTAGAATAATCCCAGAGGAGTATGACAGATACTGTACTCAAATTGAATTATTCAATGATCCATCGCAAAAGAATTCGAAAAAAGAATGGCAGACGCTATGGGGAATAAACAGTCGTTCGGCTTTCTGTCGTCTACCATATTTTGACGTCACTCGTCAAGTTCTTTATGACCCTCTTCATGTTTTCCTTGAAGGAGTATGTAAAGTTGAGTTAAATGCGTTTTTAATTTTTTGTCATGATTCACGTCGATTTGATATCGCTGTTTTTTGTTCGAAAGTTTGCAGTTTTCCATATCTTTCAAATGAAAAATGCTCAAAGCAATCGTTAAACGTTAAAATTGAAGATATAAAAAAATCTGGCTCCGTACCGCTTGACTCTGCACAATTATTATATTTGTTTCGATATTTACCCTTTATGTTAGCTGAATTACTCGGAAGTGTGTTATTCGATGAATATGAATCTCTGCTACTTTTGATTGAAATTGTTAGTCTATGTTTTGCTACTGAATCAGCCATGTCAACAGCAAGCGAACTACTATCAAAAATCCTTCAACACAACAAAATCTTCAAAAAATGCTATGAACGAAGAATTATCCCCAAATGCCACTTCATGAAGCATATTCCAGGACATTTACAAGATTTTGGATCAGGGGGATACCTAAATTGCTTAGCTTGCGAACGCAAACATCAATTTTTTCGCGGTGATAGAGCAAGAAATTTCGAGAATTTGTCATATTCCAAAAGCAAACGTCATCAAATATCTGTCGCTGTTACTGAACAGAATTCTGATACGTCTTACCATTCCTCATTATTCTCAACGCCGATACAAAAAATTCGCACAACATATGTAACAATCGATATAAAAGCCATTTGTATATCAATCGATCAAATAAACGTCACGCATCAAATGCAAGCGATTATAATAAATGACTTGCGATATGAAATTGGGAATTATATATGTTTATCTCCTATTCTGGAGAAAACGTCGCCCGTTTTCGGTTCGATAAACGCGATTGTCGATGATGGCCATAATGTTTATTTTCTATGCTCCAAGTACAAGACAATTTCATTCAACAAGCAAATTCGTGCATTTGAAATCGAAGTATCTGGTCTGTATGCACTAATAAAGTCGGATACGATGATATGCAGAAGAATACTTCAAAAATATAAATATCAAAATAAAGAATTTATTGGTTTACGTCCATATGCGTTTTCATTTTGCTGATCAATGTATTGTTCCTTTGTTATGACGTTGTTTTGCTCTTATGTAGAAAAAAGTAAATAAACACTATTCAGAATATTTTAATTTTAATTTTGATCGCACGGATAGCATATTGGAAGTAGATACTCCAGAAGTGTTAATCTACTATATGTTTTGTTTTCATGTTGTAGATATAGTTGAGAAATGCACAACAGCGATATTCAAATCCTAATTGAATGTGGTAATGATGACGAAGAAATAATTCTACCCAGCGGAAGCACATTAGCAAGTGCCCGCTCCACGATAATTCAACAAACGAAATTCCAACTGTCCGAATCGTGCCATTTTCGTTTATGGTGCGATAAATTTAAAAAATATCGAAATAACCTCGAGCTTGTCATATTAAAAGACCTTGACAAGGTAGAAATAATAAAACCCGACGTGCTCCTCGATCGACAAATAACAATACCGACAATAACAGATTTGAGTTATTCGCACGTTGCGTCTATAAGTACTCGGCCTCCGCTTCTGGATAGATTCAATAATCCATACTTTTATACACAACAACCTCAAAATCAGCAAACAAACAATGAAGAATTATCGATGTATCCCGATCATTTCAGTTATGATGTGATAAATGATGGTAGGATTTGTCAAGATGAGAATATGAAAGAAGTCGACTGTTTATCATCACCGCAA